AGAGAGCACACAGCAAGGGTCAGAGAGAGAGGGAGACAGAAGACCCCTGTCAGGCTCTTAGCTATCAGTGGGAAGCCTGATGTGGGGCTTGAATCCACGAACCATGAGATGATGGCCTGAGCTGAAATCAAGAGTCAGATGCTCACCTGACTGAGGGACCCAGGCGCCCCTCTTTTTGTGCATTTGAGATCTCCCTTCTAGGATAATTTTCTTTTTGAAATATATGCTTCTAATAATACCTTAGTGAGTCTCTCATTGGTTCCTTTTAAGATTTTGCTTGTCTGAAAATTTCTTTATTATTTCCTTATTCTAGAAAAAAAATTTTTTAAATGTTTATTCATTTTGAGAGAGTGCATGCACACGTGCACACATGGGGAAGGAGCAGAGAGAGGGAGAGAGAAGCCCAAGCAGGCTCCATGCTGTCAGCACACAGCCCCATGTGGGGCTCAGTCTCCTGAACTGTGAGGTCATGACCTGAGCTGAAATCAAGAGTTGGATGCTTAACAACTGAGCCACCCAGGTGCCCTGAATCTTTTTTTTTTTAATTGAAGTATAGTTGACACACAATATTACTTTAGTTTCAGGTGTATGACATCGTAGTTTGATAAGTCTGTACTTATTCTATGCTCACCAGAAGTGTAGCTATATTCTTCACCATTATGTGGGAGTCTTTGATCTGACCTTTCAAAATGTACAGACCTTTAACTTTTTATCCTATCCCTTTTGTGGTATTTAAAACTAAAGTCTAGGTTACAAAGGATCAGCAGATATACTGTGTACTCATGCAACACTGATTCATCTCTCTTGATTTTTCTAACCTGTTTTTCTTGACCTGTTAGGATTTCCTTAACTTTCTTGCAAACCACCTATGCATTAGAAACATTAAAAAATATTTATTCAGCACTTCAGGCTTTCTGTAGCAGCAAGATTACTAAGGATATTTCTTTTATAATAATACTGGGAATGGAAGTTTCTGTCCAAATTTAGCAAGATAAAATTTAATATTAAAAATGCAAAATTTTGTATAAAATTACATACGACTAAGAGTTTTTATTGATGTTAGTCTCTATATGAATCAGCAGTATGATGCAGTTACTAGGGGAGAGCTAGTAAAAACTAGTGTAGCTGTACGTTGCATTAATAGAAATATAGAATCTGTTATAATAGGTGGTATCCTATCATGTTTTAATTGATCAGACCTCACTTGTGTATACCACACTCTAAGGAAGATATTAAGAGCCTGAGAAATGTCTGGAGGAGAGGAGCTAAAGGAGTCAGGGAAGTCATGATAGCTGTCTATACTTATTTGAAAGGCTGTCTGGCGACTACAATTTTTATATATGTCCCAGATTACAGAACTGAGATCAGTGGTGGAACTTATAGGAAAATATATTTGGGCTTAATATTAAGAACTTTGGATGGAAGTGGGTGAAATGGGTGACAGGGACAAGATGTATAAATTTCTAGTTATAAAATGAATATGTCATGGGGATGTAAAGTACATAATGTAACTGTAGTTAACAATACTATATTGCTTATTTGAAAGTACTTAGGAGAGTGGATCTTGAAAGTCCTCATCACAAGAAAAAAATTTTCTAACTGTGTATGTGATGGATGTTAACTGGAATTATTGTGATGATCATTTTTCGATACATAAAAATATTGAATCATTACATCGTATACCTGAAAGTAATGTATGCTTGTTATATATCAGTTATACCTTAATAAAAATGCCAAAAAAATATATGTGTCTGATATGTGCCTGTTACTGTTTTAGGAGGCATACTGATAAGTAAACATGCACTATAATCTCTGTATGGTATGCACTATGATAGGGCAAATGCAGAATGAAGTAGAACATTAGGAGCACTGGGTCAGTTTTGAGGGGGCAGTTCTGAGAAATGTTCTGATGGGAGTGAGGTCTGAACTGAGGGTGAATAGAACTTACCAGAAGAAGAGAAAGGTGAAGGGTCTTGGCCTGAGGTCTCAAAGCAAAGGGAATAACACTGCTTAGGCCTGAGATGAGAGAATTAGACCATTCCTTGGTCTGTAAGTAGGAATTTAACATGGCTGGAGTAGATAGTGAAAGGGGGAGGGGAGGAAGATGAGGCTGGAAAAGGGAAGCAGGAACCAAGTTGTGAAGGGCAAAGAAGAAAAAAAAATTAAAGAACTTTCCAACCGTGAGAGCTTTTTCATATGAAATGTAATGGTCTGTCTTTGAAAATCATGACTCTTTCTCATCAGAGACATTTAAACTGAAGATGAGCAGCCATTTGTCAGGGATATTGTAGAGAGAATTTCAAGCATCACAAGGGCTGGTAGGATCATTGAGGTTCTTTCCTATTCTGAGGTTATGAAGGTCTGATTATATGATCTATCAAGGATAAAAAATGATACACTGAAGCATAGCCTCTGTAGTCTCTTCCTGACTCTGCTATTGGGTTGCTCTGAGCCCTTAGGCTAGCCATTCTTCCATTCCAGCCCCTCTTCTTGTGAATTAAAATGGAGGAACTTGGATGAGCTCAAGTGTATCTGCCATGTAGCAGTTATTACTATAGCATTCTAGTAGCGATATTTTATTTCCCTCATTCTTTTTACATTTATTAACTGGAATTCATCCATAAGAGACTATGTCGACTCTCATTTATTTATTAAATCATCTATTTCTATCAATATGAACTCATGGATATTTATTTTATTCTTTGGATTATAATCAGTTATTTATTTTGTTCAAATTGTTACAGCATTGGCCACTGGAAGACCTGGATATTACTGTTACAGAATACAAAACGTTCATTGATACTGTTTCAGATTCCACACAGCAGCTAATCTTTAAGTAATTACCACTTGTCAAGTTTGGTGTAGTATCTAAAAAGAATCTGTACATGAACATAAGAGAAGGGAAGCAAAAATAATATAAAAACAGGGAGGAGGACAAAACATAAGAGACTCTTAAATATGGAGAACAAATTAGAGGGTTACAGGAGGGGCTGTAGGGGAAGATGGGCTAAATGGGTAAGATGCATTAAGGAATCGACTACTGAAATCATTGTACTATATGCTAACTAACTTGGATGTAAATTAAGAAAATAAATTAAAAAAATAAAAAGTATCTGTACAATTTTGAAAAGGCTATTAATATATTTCCCCCTTCCTGGGGCACCTGGATGGTGCAGTTGGTTAAGTGTCTGACTCTTGATTTTGGCTCAGGTCATGATCTCACCATTGATGAGATCGAGTCCCACATTGGGCTCTGTGCTGACAGCAGTGCCTGCTTGGGATTCTCTTTCTTTCTCCCTCTGTCCCTCCCCCCGAGTGTCCCTCTGCACTCTCTCTTGCATGTACATATGAGCTCTCTCTCTCACAAAATAAACATTCAAAATATATATTATATATATCTATATATCTGTGTCTATGTCTATGTGTATCTAATTTCTCCCTTCCTTAATACTTTTCTTCATATACTTCAACTAAAACAACATAGTGCTACTGATTGAATGTAGAAGCAGATATGAGAATCTACTGTCTTCTTATTAAGCCAACCAAATTAAAGAGTATGTAAAAATGTAAACAATGTTACATGTTAATTTTTTATTTTGCAAAATATGTTATTACTTTTTACAATGCAAGGAGTTTATTATTTTTAAATGAATTAACAAATATTTTAAAATTTCTCTTTTAATTTTTTGTTTGGTAAATATCTATAGAGATAGTCCAAAAAAAACCCAAATGTCTTTGTATTTCTTAATGATTTTTAAGAGTTCGAGGGGTCCTGAGACCAAAAAATTTGAGGACAACTCTTCTAGCCTATTTTTAGATGATAATATTAGTATAGTCAACTCTTTTAACTCACAGATGGTCAACTTTGGTGGTTATCTGGAAATTTTTCCGGTCTTTCCCTGAAGCAGTCTTTGTGTGTTCAAAGGAATGTACAAATGCACAGTAATTTTAATATTAGCCTATGTCTTAAAGTCTACCCAGCTAGTTCCAAAGTCAAACACTATATAAAAGGCCATCATTAGCAGTTTCTTTTGGCACAGTGTCTGATATATAGCAATCAGTAGGTATTTGTTGGTTGCATGAGTAAACATTGACATTTTTTTGCCTTTTCTCTAAAAATCCAGATTAGTAATGAAATTGAGAATGTCATGGAAGAAACCACAAAACCAGCAACTGAGCAGATTGCAGAGTTTAGTATCCACCTTTTGGGAGAGCAATATAGGGAAGAACTACAGGATCCCTCCAACTTTCAGCACCAGCACCTTGTAGAAGAGTTTATTTCAGAGGTGGGTGATTTTTTGGTTTTCTTTCTTCCTCCTTTCCTTTCCTTTCCTTTCCTTTCCTTTCCTTT